GGGAGTGAGTGTGAGATGGATGGAGCTGGTAAAGAGGAAATGGTCACCAGCTGTTAGACTGGCAACTGTTTTAAGTGGCAAGTGGTTCACAGCTCAGGAAGAAGATAAGGAGGGTTAACAGAGAAGATGTGAAGGTAGGAATTCGATTCTCTGCTCTCCAGGACGAGTGTACTTCAGTGGTTAGTGAGGCTAAAGGTATCACTGACTCCCCTGCTAATCAAGATAAGACTATTCTAATTGTAGGAGATTCTCAGGTAAGATATATGGACTGTGCTTTTTTGTAACAGAGATAGGAAGGTAAGACAGAGGGTGTGCCTCCCAGGAGCTGGTGCTGGTGACATAGTCACCAGATTGGATAATATTATGTCAGGTAATGAGAAGCCCATTATCTGTCTTAGTGCTCGGAGTAATGACATTGGGAAGGGTAGAAGACAGGGGCTACTGGATAAGTACAGGTCAGCCATAGAAGTAGTCAGGTCTAAGGGAGGAATCCCAATCATATGTAGCATCTTGTCTAGGAAGGGAGTGGGCAATGAATGGATGTCTAAGGCAATTGGTATAAATTGCTGGCTAGACAAGTACTGCAAGGAACTTACAATCCCATTCATTGATAACTGGAACAAATTCTATGGCAAATGTGATGTGTATGCAAGGGATGGGATTCATCTCTCTGGGGGTGGAGTGGTTGCATTACCCAATTCGACTGAGGGGGTAACTAATGATTTGTCTAGGACTTTAAACTGATAGATTATAGAGGAACAGGTGTTTGTGGGAAACAACCAGGCTGCAGTATTAGGGTTGAAAACAGCAGATATTACTGGGATACCTCAGGGATATGTTTAAAAAACAATATTCAAAATAAAGTTACTAGTAAAGGCAAAGTAACTGATCAACAAAGAGAGAGAGTAGAAGGCAATGTGTGATTAGCTCCCTTAAGGTTTACTATACAAATAGGAAACTAAGAAATAAGATAGATGAGCTAAGTTTACTTGAAAGTGCAGATAATATAGATATTATTGCTATAACAGAGACATGGTTCAACCTGAAAGATAGAGAAATGCCTTCTGAAAGCAACATACAGAGTTATAAACTATTCCACACTGATAGGGTCAACAGGAAGGGTGGTGGAGTGGCGATGTCAGAAAAATTTAAATAGTCTTAGACATGATATATGATTAGAAATATCAGACACAGAATCTGTTTGGCTACAGTTTCTAGAGGGTCATGACAAATTAATTTTGAGTGTGATTTATAGGCCCCCAAACCTCGATAGGGAGAGCAGTAAGCTGTTATGGGACGAAATTCATAAGGCATCTAGATATGAAACTGTTATATTAACTCTTAAACTGTCCAGACGTAGATCTACGTTCACACCGCCAGCGCTTCAAACATTTTATTTTACATGTTTTCAAATGTAAAATAAAACGTAGATCTATGTTCGGAGTGCTACGCGAGTAAACGTAGATCTACATTTGGACAGTTGAAGGGTTAATGGGAGATTTTAACTTTAGACAAATTGATTGGAACAATGTGACAGGAAATCTTGAGTCTAGTGACTTTCTTGATATGATTCAGGATTGCTTTCTAAAACAGTTTGTGACAGAACCAACTAAAGGAAACAATCTTCTTGACTTGGTTCTTGCCAACAAAAAATTGCTAATTAATAATCTTGAGGTTAATGATGAGCTTGGGGAAAGCGATCACAAGTCACTTAGTTTCAATATATCATGGAATTACCCAGATAACTGCAATCAAATCTCTGTCTCAGATTTTCACTTGGCTGATTTCATGGGACTGAAAAATTACCTGCGTGGGCTAAATTAGGATGTCCTGACTATGGGTCAGGTAGGTGGTCTTGGTTGCCAATATAACGTTTTTCAGAGCATAGTTCTAGCTGCCCAGACAACTTTCCTTCCGAGTAGGGAAATTAGATCTAACAAAAATGATCCCAAATCGATGAACAATATATTAAAACATCTCATTGGTCAAAAGAGAGGCATATATAGGCGTATCAAAAGAGGGGATGGGCAGTTAAGAAATCAATATGTTCAATTTAAGAGTGAAATAAAAAAAAAGGAATAAGAAAAGCAAAAAGAGATTATGAGGGTAAGGTCGCAAGGGTTCTTTCAGGTATACAGAAGTAAGATTAAGGACAAGATAGGCCCACTTAAGAGTAACTCTGGTCAGATCACTGACAGTGATAAGGATATGTGTGACATTTTCAATACTTACTTCCTCTTAGTTTTCACCCAGGAAAACACAACAGAAATTCCAGAAATAATAGATTTTGCAGCACAGGGTGATAATAAACTATGCACGACTGCAGTAACTAGTGATATGGTTCTCAGACAAATAGAGAAATTAAAACCTAACAAATCCCCAGGCCCTGATGAACTGTTTGCAAGGGTGTTAAAGGAATGTAAAGAGAAACTTAGCATACCTTCAGCTCATCTTATCAACATATCACTACAAAATAGCATAGTGCCTGATAAATGGAAAATGGCAAATATAATGACTATTTACAAGGCAGGTGACGGGTCCTTAGCTTCGAACTATAGACCAATAAGCCTTATCTTCACAGTGGGAAAATTTGTGGAATCAATAATTGCCCAAGCAATTCATAGCCATATCGAAAGGCATAAATTGATTAATGAATCATAGCACAGTTTTACAAAGGGGCGTTCCTGTCTTACGAATTTACTAACTTTCTTCACTAAGGTATCTGAGGAGGTAGATCATGGTATTGAATATGATACTGTGTATATGGACTTCAGTAATACTTTCAATAGAGTTCCACATCAGAGGCTATTGAGGAAACTTAAGGAACACGGAATAGGAGAAACTTTTTCCTGGGTAGAGGCATAGCTTATATACTGTAGTCAGTTGATGCGAAGCAGAAGGAGGCGGGGTCATAGTGGTACCATCCACTAGTCGAAGTAGGTCTTCGTCCAAAGGTTGGACAAGTTTTGAAGAATTCTTTGTATCAAGATCCCATGATGCAGTGTCTGACAGTTGTGATGAATGGTTTTGAAAACCGACAAGTTGAAGATTGAGACACTTATGCAACATATGAGAATCTTTATTGAAGAAACGTTTTGCCACACAGTGGCTTCAGTCAAATACAAAGCAGAAAGGTGTAAGGAGAGGAGGAGTTCGAGGTAATCAGTCCCTCAGCCTGGAGTCGATGTGTTCAGTCCATCAATCTTGTAGAATGTACAGCATAGGGCCGTAGACGTGACTTAAATACTGTAGTCAGGTGAGGCGAAGCAGGTGGGGTGATAGTGGTACCATCCACTAGTCGAAGTAGGTCTTCGTCCAAAGGGCCGTCTACGGCCCTATGCTTTACATTCTACAAGATTGATGGACTGAACACATCGACTCCAGGCTGAAGGACTAATTACCTGAAACTCCTTCTCTCCTTACACCTTTCTGCTTTGTATTTGACTGAAGCCACTGTGTGGCGAAACGTTTCTTCAATAAAGATTCCCATATGTTGCATAAGTGTCTCAATCTTCAACTTGTCGGTTTTCAAAACCATTCATCACAACTGTCAGACACTGCATCATCATGGGATCTTGATACAAAGAATTCTTCAAAACTTGTCCAACCTTTGGACGAAGACCTACTTCTACTAGTGGATGGTACCACTATGACCCCGCCTCCTTCTGCTTCGCCTCACCTGACCACAGTATTTAAGCCACGTCTACGGCCCTATGCTGTACATTCTACAAGAATGTTGCAGTGTTCCTTCTTTATGTTATGTACTTATTCCCCGAGACACTGTCAGTCTTCAGTTAAGTCACCGATATCGGCCTCGTGTCAACACCAATGACACAGGACTCCAGTTATGGGTCTGGCAGGTTTTATTCCCCTTTCATTTGTCCCAAGACACTGCAGTGTTCAGGTATATGTAAGTAGAATATTGCCCCCCCCCCCTTAGAGACTGTTATAAGAAAATCATCTACAAAAACCCATTGAGAATCACTATGCATTTCAGATAAGAGTGAAATGCTGGATATATGCTCCTTTGGGGCAAATTGTATTTCTAACTTGTTAATCAATAGCCTCTGTGGAACCTGATACAGCATCCCGAAGAGATTTCCAGGAAGCAGATGCTGGAAATCGTGCTGTTAAAAGATAAGTAACGCTTGCCTTATGTTTGTTTCTTAAAGGAAAGTGTATTTATCTAACCAGTTTCTCCACACATTGACTCCAGGCTGAGAGACTGATTACCTCATACTCCTCATCATCCGAGTTTTATCTCTGAATTAGACCGAGGAAGTAAATGGCTGTTGAAACGTTTCCAAAAATAAGATACACAAGTGTTACACAAGTGTCTCATTTGTCTGTATGATCCATCTGTATGCATGATGATCCCAGTCTGTATGATGATCCCTGTCTATATGATGATCCATCTGTCAGGTGATCCGTCAGTTTGATGATCTGTCTGGATGATTCATCTGTATAATGAGCCATCTTTATGAATGATGGTTTGTCTGCAAGTTGCTCCATCTGTATGATAATCCGTCTTTCAGCATGATGATCCATCTATCAGTATGATCAGTTGTGTAAGATCCATCTGTGTGAATGCATGATGATCCGTCTGTGTGTATGATGATCCGTCCGTCTGTATGATGATTAGTCTGCATGATGGTTCGCTGTATGTGCGCATTGTATTAATGTTGGTAGAATTACCGACAATATTTTAAGTAAAATGACACAAGTGCAACTAATGCCACAATAATACGTCGCATTAGTTGACTGGCGCATGTTTATGCATGCGCCAGTCAGCATGTGATAAATGGTTTAAAACCGACAAGATGAAGATTGAGACACTTCTGCAACATATGGGATCTTTATTGAAGAAACGTTTCGCCACACAGCGGCTTCAGCCACTATATGGCGAAACGTTTCTTCAGTAAAGATTCTCATATGCTGCATAAGTGCCTCAGTCTTCAGCCAGTCAGCATATACACAGAAGCGACAGAAGGTTGTCTTACCTGTCCATATATTCTAAGAAGGACCTCTGAGGGCTCCGCAGCCTTGGACGTCTGTGAGACAGGCAGCGCACAGTAGTACAGCATGTTGGACAGACCCCCACTGAAACACAAACATTATCTCTCTTAGTAAGCATGTTGGACAGACCCCCACTGAAACACAAACATTATCTCTCTTAGTAAGCATGTTGGACAGACCTCCACTGAAACAAATATTTTCTTCATTATATTGTCCAGGGCCGATCAAACACTGTTATACTGTCCAGGACCGATCAAACACTGTTATACTGTCCAGGGCCGAGCAAACACTGTGTTATACTGTCCAGGGCCGATCAAACACTGCTATACTGTCCAGGGCCGAGCAAACACTGTGTTACTGTCCAGAGCCGAGCAAACGCTGTTGTACTGTCCAGGACTGATCAAACACTGTTGTACTGTCCAGGACCGATCAAACACTGTTATACTGTCCAGGGCCGAGCAAACACTGTTATACTGTCCAGGGCCGAGCAAACACTGTTATACTGTCCAGGGCCGATCAAACACTGTTATACTGTTCAGGGCCGATCAAACACTGTTATACTGTCCAGGACCGATCAAACACTGTTATACTGTCCAGGGCCGAGCAAACACTGTTATACTGTCCAGGGCCGAGCAAACACTGTGTTATACTGTCCAGGACCGATAAAACACTGTTGTACTGTCCAGGGCCGATCAAACACTGTTATACTGTTCAGGGCCGATCAAACACTGTTATACTGTCCAGGGCCGAGCAAACACTGTTATACTGTCCAGGGCCGAGCAAACACTGTGTTATACTGTCCAAGACCGATAAAACACTGTTGTACTGTCCAGGGCCGATCAAACACTGTTATACTGTTCAGGGCCGATCAAACACTGTTATACTGTCCAGGACCGATCAAACACTGTTATACTGTCCAGGGCCGAGCAAACACTGTGTTATACTGTCCAGGACCGATAAAACACTGTTGTACTGTCCAGGACCGATCAAACACTGTTATACTGTCCAGGGCCGAGCAAACACTGTTATACTGTCCAGGGCCGAGCAAACACTGTTATACTGTCCAGGGCCGAGCAAACACTGCGTTATACTGTCCAGGACCGATAAAACACTCTTGTACTGTCCAGGGCCGAGCAAACACTGTGTTATACTGTCCAGGACCGATAAAACACTGTTGTACTGTCAGCATAGTTGCTGATCCCTGTATTCCCAGTATTATATAGCATAGCAGTAGCATCATCCATGTGCTTTAGACACGAGACCCCTCGTAGGCCTGTGGCTTTGTGTGACGTCACGGGATGCACACGAGGAGGCCCATTCCTCTGTCCCGGCCTCACTCGGCGGCAGACCATCCAGGCGTAGACAGGCAAGGCAGCTGGGGCTCCATCCCTCATCTCAGTCTCACAATATATTTACCATCCTACAAGTGTGTCTACTTTCAACCTACGATATCTCCATTTAAGAACCATTACGATAAATGGTGGCATCGGAGGGCCTGTAATTCTGACGATTACAGCGATTTCTGGAGATAAAATTTCGACCAGCAAGACGGCCATTTCGTGTCACCAGTAGGCCTATCGACTACCGAGATTCACCCAGCCAGCTACCTCAAGCCAGCTACTCTACCAGCTTCTACATTATTCACTGGTCAGTCTCTTTGTATTAGTGTTAACTGCTTTTTGCATCACTCACGAGGGGTTGACCCGAGTTTGCAAAATAAGCCAGTTTCCAGTCTGTGGTGGGGGAGTCAGAACAACCGAGTCCAGTCCAGCCTAGCCTACTCCATCCAATTATTTTGCCTGCCAAGCCAGCTTCCACCCCTGCTGTGCTCATCGTGTGAAGTTATCAAGCTATTCTGTGTGAAGGGTTAAGATAAGCCAGCTAGCAACTAACCCAGATGTCTTACCCCAGTACTCAAGCAAGCCACGTGAGTAGTCTTCATCGCTTGTGATTCAAGCTCCAAGCATTCTGAGTGTTCCTTGTCATCCTTGTGGTGTTGTAGTATTTCGTGGGTTTATTTTAAGCCAGCCGGCTTAGAATTATCTTCGCGGCAGTGTGGGTGTTCTCAGTGAGGCTTACGACGTTCAACCCATAAGCCCAGCCACTCACGATCACGTGTGTCGCACCATTGCCGGTCTCAGACGCCTCGCTCAGCCATTAACCCATAAACCCAACTACAGTCGGCCATTACAACTCACCTTCCTCATCAGTGTTTTGGTGCACTGCTAAGGGTTGTAGCACCATATTTTAAGGACCACATAGGGGGTCAAGAGCTAGAGTGTGTCGTGCCATCTTTAAAAGCCTCCTGTGTGTTGTCTATCGCCGATTTAAGCGCAATTCTACGATCATCTGTGCAGAGGACAGCAGCAAGACGATATAAACAATCCATCAATCTCATTCTTCAAGTGTTACAGCGATAATATTTTTTTTTAGAGACATTTGCGAGTGTTGAGACATTTCTTTTGTGTTCCCAGTGAATTTTTCTCTTAGTGACATTCAGTGACTCTTGATCAGACTCAGTGTTTATCATGTACTGATTGCATAAATTTCTTTTAATCTCCTTAATTCAGTGTTAATTTTCGTGCATTATTTTATATCTGTTGTGTGTATCTTTTTATACACTTGAAGTAAGTACTGAGTGTTTTTCCTTTGTTGTGTGTGCAACATATGAGCAATATAGAACTTGTGTTTAAACTTCAGAATTCCAGTGAATTAATTCAGTAATTTTTCACCTCATATTCTGCATACAACTCAGTGTTGTCTTGTTTAATTTTTTTTTTTCTTCCTAGCATTTGTGTATTTTTGTTTTGTTTCCTGTGTGTTGAACATTCTTGTGTTCATATTCTTTTATTCAGCCAGTGTTTAATTTGTCTTATTTCCACAGACAATAGTGCCATTATTAAAGTCCCAGCAAGAAATCACTTTTACAAAATTTTTCACACATCAAGTTTCATTGCAAGAAAATCCTAGTACTGTGTTTATGTTGATGTGTTGTGTTCTGCATCACTGTAAGTGTTCAACCCCCTGTTTTATGTATTTTTTGCACCTATTATTTTTCATGTTTTATTGAACAAATTCACTCTTAGTGCAATTTTTAAGTTCTCCTTTTAAAGTAAATTGTTCTTTTGCTTGTTGTTTAAGTGCAGTTAAGAGTTAAAGTGTTCATTCCTTGATATATTTCTTTTCTTGTGTGTTATAATTTTTATTATTGCACATTGACTCATTTAACTATGCTGACAGCTCGGTCATGTTACGTATGTCGTCCCGACATACACTACTATACTATAGGCTGAACAGGCAGGCGGATCTGGGCTGATTCTATACAATAACAAATTCATATATAACTTAGAACTAATGGATGGTACAACATGATTTTGACGTAATGGGTGTTAACGTAATCATTACAAACTATAAGAACAAATCATTATACAATATGGATGGAATTGATCGATCGATCTGTATTCATGCACTCTACGGATTCTGAGGAAGAATAATTATATACAAAGAAGTGTTTAACAGAAAGGCAGATTCGGTGCACTCAAATCTAGACTGTTAATTCTCAGAATACGGAGGGAACGTGAACACGAAAATTTCTGACAAACTGATCAGCTAATAATAAACACACAGTTGACAATTTCATTCATCTCGGACATCTAATTATACAGACTATGTACATTTAAACCCAATTCTGCGAGGGTTAGGTTTACATATGCAGAATGGTTATCATCTCTGGGAGGATCGAATTCCTCTGCAATGGCTAACACATGCCTTGACTGAGAGAGATCTGAAGGAGTATCTACAAAATATACAACTACAATCACTAGTGACTGTGGAATTACTAACTCGTCTGCTAGGAGTACTCAACTCGACTATTCGATACAGTAATTCTTGACTCATTACAAAGTCACTAATGGGTGCTGGTGGCTTCACAGTAAGAATAAGATCTTTCTGGAGCAGGAATCGAATCACCATAACACAAGGGATCGGTTCTTTGGGCAGTTTTGACATCCTCGACAGTAAATGGAGGATCTGCAGTAACTACACTAACGTGTCGCGATAAAGCATCAGCGACTACATTCAACTTGCCAGGTAAATTTTCAAAAGTGGGATTGAACTCTTGGATAGTCAAGGTCCATCTGGCTAACCTTCCAGTAGGCTGTTTGTTCTGGAATAAAGGTAACAGTTCTTCCTTACTGGAGGAAAGAACAAACTCGGTGGAGTGGATGACTCCCCCATAAAACACTGTTGTACTGTCCAGGGCCGATCAAACACTGTTATACTGTTCAGGGCCGATCAAACACTGTTATACTGTCCAGGACCGATCAAACACTGTTATACTGTCCAGGGCCGAGCAAACACTGTGTTATACTGTCCAGGACCGATAAAACACTGTTGTACTGTCCAGGACCGATCAAACACTGTTATACTGTTCAGGGCCGATCAAACACTGTTATACTGTCCAGGACCGATCAAACACTGTTATACTGTCCAGGGCCGAGCAAACACTGTGTTATACTGTCCAGGACCGATAAAACACTGTTGTACTGTCCAGGACCGATCAAACACTGTTATACTGTCCAGGGCCGAGCAAACACTGTTATACTGTCCAGGGCCGAGCAAACACTGTTATACTGTCCAGGGCCGATCAAACACTGTTATAGTGTCCAAGACCGATTAAACACTGTGTTATAGTGCCCAGGACCGATCAAACACTGTGTTATAGTGTCTAGGACCGATCAAACACTGTGTTATAGTGTCTAGGACTGATCAAACACTGTGTTATAGTGTCTAGGACCGATCAAACACTGTGTTATAGTGTCCAGGACCGAGCAAACACTGTGTTATAGTGTCTAGGACCGATCAAACACTGTGTTATAGTGTCCAGGACCGATCAAACACTGTGCTATACTGTCGAGGACCGATCAAACACTGTTATATTTCCAGGACACACACTAAACATTACAAATGTCTTATCGACAACTGCCTTTGACAAAATGGTAATTAACCTGTGTAAATACCCTGTGTGAGGTTTCATAGCTGTCCAGGGCCGAGCAAACACTGTTATACTGTCCAGGGCCGATCAA